AAAAAAAAAAAATTAAAAAAGAAAAAAAAAAAACTGACAGAAATGTTTTTTTTAGCAAAATTATAAGACAATGTTGTAGTGATCAAATTTTGCGCATGTTAAAAAATATATATTTTATTGTTTGATACTTGGGAAGAGCATTTGTAAGAGAGTGGAAAAATAGAATAATATTGACAGAAAAAAAAAAAAATTCTTTGTCCAGAGAACAATTAAAAATTTTAAAGAAAATTTATTAAATAATTTCAGTTAATTAAAATGAAAAAAAAAATTTACACCCTAAGTCACCATATTCTTGTTTTTATCTTTACAATGCTGTGCAGACACACTTAATCTTTGAATATTTAAGTAAAAATTTACATTAAAATGCTTACCTGCTTTTGTCTAAAGAAATTTTCTCTAGATTTTCCTAGAATCTAAAAGACATGTATGAAAAAAAAAAAAAAAAGAGTTGAAAGTACCATAGTTTCTACAAACTCTTAATTGTATTGTCTAAAAAATATTTAAAATATATTAAAAAAAAAAAAGGCTGCTAGAGTATAAGAAATGTACCATATTATTCAATAAAAAAACTTACATTTTTACAAATTCTTGCCAACAAAACCATTCTTTCATAAACTTACAGAAAGAAAAGACATCTTTTACTTTGATTTCTTTATTTCACAAAAATATCCAAAATTTTCACAAAATATGTCTTATTTGAATTTAAATTTGGAGGAAAAATCACAAAGGATTGGAATACAATGAAAAAACTCTCCTAAAGCATTTTTTTTATAGAGGTATCTTTCACTCCTTGTGGATTATCATCAAAGTGAACTAATTATAGCTGAATGCCATATATTATTTTGAAACTAAACTTAATCGTGTTGATGCAAAATATTTTCATTAGCACAATTCTCAAAATCAGAAATATGATGTGTGAATTTCACTGACATTTTTTAAAAAAAATATTTGACTGTCATAGAATATACTATCATTTCAGGCATAAAATGTGAGCAGTAAAAAAATATATGCAAATTATGTTACTACATCTAAAGAATATAGAAATTTAAAATCCTACCTGAATAATAGTGTTAACATTTATAAATTGAACATGTGTGAATGTTGGGTTAAATGTTGTATTTGATTTCTTTCAACAATGTTATGTTGAAAGAGATAAATACATCTATGCTTCTGTTAAAGAAAAGGGTAAGACTGTAAAATTTCTTTTATAGAATATACTGGTTTTATAAGAAAAATACCTCTTGTATATTTTGAAATACTGGAATTTAGTAAAAGAGAGAGAGGAAATTTCAATGGATTTAAATTACATTATTTTCCATATGTTATAGCAATAAAAATAATCTTTGTGGCAATTTTATACTTCCCAAAGAAAAAGTGATTCAAGTTGTTTATCATTATTGTGAATATTTGAAATGATACAGATTTTTTTCTCTAATACTTTCATTTTTAGATTGAAATGTGAAAATTTATCAATACATAATTAACCTGTGCACAAGAGTGAACTTGAATAAATTTGGAGCATTTATATCGGCCATTTTCAAATACATATATCTAAAAACATATAAACACACATATATAAATATACCATACATATATGGCACCGAATTTGGAAAAAAAAAAAAAAAAATCATATTTCTCCTCTTCTTTTTCTAATCATTATATATATATATATATATATATATATATATATATATATATAGCGATAATTGCACCCATAACAAAAATAGATTATGTCTAATTGCATAACATAATAATCCCATCATATCCACATATAAATACACTCATATGTGTACAAATAGAAACACAACTACACAGACACACACACATATATTACAAACACACACAGAGAAATATATACAAACATACCTACACATATATACAACCATATATACACATATCTAGGCACATAGAATCATATACATCCCCAAACACACACACATATTTTATTATTACATACACGCACAAATATAGACATTAAATCATACAATATTAAAGTGACTACATGCATTAATACATGTTATTCTTATATCAGATATGGAGTTTTCAAGGATGAGCTTCTTCAAGACAGAAATTGTTTGAGACTTTGAATCGATGTTTATGTCTGCATTTGAATATAAGTTCATTTCGATGATTCAGTAATTATTAATTCAGTAATTCCTCCAGGTTACTATATTTAATTATAAAATTTTTTTCTTTGATACAAAGCTTACATCTGTCTCTGAAATTGTTAGGAGTTCTAGCCCTAGATATGATCCTCCATTCCAATTGCAGGGTGAAACATTTTTTACGATATCCCAATAGTGTTTGGATAGTGCTTCCAACACCCTACAGGGATTTCAATATAAACCTTTTTCAGGTTTATATTTTCCTTGGGGAAGATAGTGGCTTCATAAATCATTTTCAAACAAACAATTTCCCCCTGTGGGACATTCCATTTTAATCCTACAATTACAGATCGGGTTATTTTCTTGTAATTTACTACTATGAAATTTTTTAAGTTTGTTATTGTGAGAATTGATAATTTTCTCCACATTATTAATGCAAGAGTAATTTTTGATATTTAATGTTTTTCTATTGAAGATTTTTTTTCAATGGATTACTATTATTAAAATGTTCATTAATTTCAAGAAAAAACTGCTAATATTAATATTGGATAACTTGCAGAAGGATGGGTTGAACCATATGATTTTCCTTTTTCTGTTAGATTTCTTGGATGTATTGTTTTTCAAATCTTCTAGAGAATTTAATCTTTGTGTAAACATACTTTTCTTGAGGGCTTGATTGTAGATAAATTTATTTTCATTAAAAATTTGGTTGCTTGAAGATAACTTGTTGATCCTAGTGTTGACAGTGTTGAGAAATGGATGTTGATGTAGATAGGGGAATGATATTTTTTCTGGAAAAGTTTGAATGTATCATTTGAAAGATTAAGGGTACTATCTAGGAAGTTAACGATTTTTAGATTAGAGGATATATCAATCTTGAATCACAAAAATTTGAAAGCTTTTATAAATGTTTTTGTTATTTGGAAGTTAGAGGACCATTACTATGAGGAATAGTAATGAGATCATCATCCCTGTAAAGATCTACTTGGTTGGGGTTAATAATTCTACTGAGGGTGTTTAATGTACTAAGTCAGCTATTTTAGCAGATTTGAATGCTTCCATAGGAACATTGAAGTTTTCATTGTTCTGTTTAATCCAAGGAGAGTCATTATATATAAGTATAGATCTTTGGATGCTACAATAATTTTTTGTTCATCATCCGTAATGTTAATATAATTCTTAGCAAAATTTAGGCTATTTAGTAATAGGTCTTCAGAAATGGAGGGGTAGAAGTCAATGATGTTGAATTGAATAAATGTAGCATTCTTTTTATTGGTGATATTCTGGAACCATTTAATAGCGTCTGAGAAATCTTTCCAAAGATTGGCAGAAGAGTTCTGTTGTATAGATAGTATTATTTTTTTAAGTATGTTTTTCAAAATTAATCCAAATTTAGTTTTGGAAGCATTTATTAAGCAGGATTGTGGATTATTAACAAAATTGTTTTTTTTTTTATCTCTATCATTCTCTTCCAAGATTTGAATATCTCCCCCACCACTCTCTATTACTTTCTCCCTATGTGAATACATACCCATTCATCCTCTTCTCTCACCAAATTTTGAATCTGAATATTTAAACATAATTTATGTTCAGATTATTTTTTAAACCTGGTAAAATCTTTATCCATTTATTTGTGTAATGTTTTGTCTAATGAGTTCGAATTGAAATTTCGATTCTAATGAAATAAATATCACTATGATCTTTTAAAGTCTTTGTTTTCATGATAATTATTATATGCCCCCATTTTTGACAATGAGCTCTCTCTGGATCTATATCCTCTTTGGAATTATCTATACAGATTACCAAATATTATCATTATATATATATATATATATATATATATATATATTGAAGATAGCATGTAAGCATGAAACAGACTTCCTCGGATGGATATTAACCTCAATGCCTACTTTTATTTACATGCTTTATCCCTAATATTGAGTACTTTAACCCATAAATATAGCATACCTTTATATATGTGTGTTTGCATACAGTCAACAACAAAATTATTTGTACACCCATCAATTTTGAATATTTTTATCCATTTCTCAGAATCTAATGCCCATATGTTGTCTTTTCCTATTTTACATAATTCACACGTCAAATTTGTTGTATTTAACCTATTGTTCTGAAAATTGAGTTTTATATTCCTTTTTTTGTGCTTATTAACATATAAAAAACCTGGCATCACATATATTTCTAGAATCTGTCAAATATTGTGGATTCATTTACAAGGCATAAAATTAAAATAAAACTTATTACAATAAAAGCATGGAAATTTAATGTAAAAACCCATTAATTTTAATATTAGATTCATAAAGTAAATATCAATATATATTCTTTTAAAAGTTCAACTTGAAATTCATGTCTTCCTTTGGAAAGGGAAATTATTTGTCTCAGTGAGTTAAAAGGAAAATTAGGTATAAAACAAAATAGTTACTAACATTGATTACCAGCTTTTTGATACAGTACTAAAACAGTATTTTCATTTAGAGAAATTAAAAGGATATATTCCATTGCAAAAATAGGATATATTCCATTGCAAAAAATATGTCATTCTGATCAATCAAATTCATGCAACATAGATTTGCAATGTTTCAAAAAAAAAAAAAATCCAACTTGCAACTTTGGTAAGACTGGATTCACTGTTCTTAATTCCCTCTCTCCCTTATTATACAGATACAAAAATAAGAGATAATATGCTTTGTATAAATATAATTCACTCTTCTCTAAAATCTTTCACATTTATTATTTGTGTTACAAATTAATATTTTTTCTTTTCTTAAAACCTATAATTTTATGGCAAGATAAAAATAAATTTGATGAATAGTCATTAATATTTTTAGCTGCACTGGGAAAAAATGTATGGTGATATTGTGTCACCATAAGCATAACCTAAGGTGATAGTCGTTCAATGACCCATCCATCTTCTCCCTCGTGGGTAAATTCTGGGTTGAACACTTCATTGGGTCCCTTTTTTCTGAAGCGTAATCGGTCATGGAGACGAGTTGTCTGCCCTTGCCAGAATTCTATTACGTCCGGCTCGATTAGGTAACCTCCCCTGAAGCCAAATAAAAACGTCCATGAATGAGCACAATAGACAAATTACGACAAAGTTGGAAATTACTACTTATAATGATGCCTATTGTTACTATAAATATATAAAAGAAAAACTAAAAAGTGATCGTAAAGAGAGGATTGAAAAAGCAATTAAGAAAAAGGTGAAAAGTTCAAGTGGATAAAACGCATTATTATACATGTTTTGTGGTACTAAGTATAGTAAAACATTTAGAAAAATTATTTATAATAGAAGCAATGTTAACATTAAAATTATATAATATCCCCTCTGTTGTCAAAAAAAAAAAAAAAAAAAAAAAAAATTACAAATTTTGGGGGGGATCATATTTGATGGCATATTACCCCCCACCACCAACTCTCACAGTTAATATTATATTATTATGGTGTTAGAGTAGGTAAACATTAACTTATCAGATATCTCAATTTCATTTATGAGACCCATAAATATTTTTTGTAAGAACAAAGAAAAAGGGACTTAATATGCCATCAAATATATTGACACAATACAAGTAAATATTGCACTCTTTTAATGATGACACTGTAAAGTTTCCATTCCTCGACAGATCAAATGTAAAAAGTAAATCTTAAGTGATTTTACAAATTATAAGAATAAGTAATTTTACAAATTACAACACCATTTCTTAAAAATAAGAATCATTTCTTACAATATTCATTAAAAAGAAAAATATGTTCAGTTGACTTACCAGAAATCAGGTTTTGGAATAATGCTTTCATTTTCATACTTCTTTTCCAGTTCTGAGAATTTATTCATCAGATACTAAAATGAACAAAATATGAGGATTTTGAATTAGACATTTAATTACAGTGTGGAGGGTTTTATTGTTTTTTTTTTAATTATATCACTTAGTGAAAAGTGAAGAATATACAATATTTCGTAAAATATAATTTTTTATATGCATACGTTTTACCATTGTTATAAAATAAAATAAGATATCTTGGCTGATTTACAGGCAAATACTCAAGAGCGAGAACCGGATGTGAACAGGACAAAGCCCCGTCACAAAATGACCATTAACTTTTTTTTACAAATGTTCCCGACACACGTGTTCCAGTCGGAAAATAAAATAATATTTAAAGTGCTCTATTTTTTGTCCAATAAAAATGCTTCCCTCCTAATTATACTCGCTTCATTTCTGGAGCCTGTTAAGCCATAAAAATCGCTATAAAAGGGGTCACACGGAAGTTCAACAGTCAGTCCACAGGTGCCCAGGATAGAGACCTGTCACGTTCAGCTGCTGACAGCAGGGGAGCGTCAACCACCTTCAACATGTGTGAACTACTATGAGAGGTTGACCTAGATCAGAAACCGGCTTATGAACTTTACCACACGGTAGCTGTCCCAAACCCACACGTTCCTGTTGAAATAAACCACGTAAATCTATTTCTACTGTTGTCGTATTTCTTTCTTGCAACCATACGCTTGTCTATAACACCATAAAGTTTAAAATTCTTGTCCTTGATAACAAAGTCTTTGTGGGCTTGAAATATATATTAAAAAATATATGTTAAAAAAATAAAAACAATTATTCTGTAAAGGAGAAAGAATAAATAAAATGTTATTTAACCTAGAAAATCTTAGTAAAGTTAATTTTAATTTCTAAATGTGTTAGTTAAAAATTATCAATATTTAAATAATTAGTATAGATGTTATAAAGATTATACTTTGCAACATGATAATTTGATATAAGTTTTAAATGATGTATAAATTTTACTTTTTTATGTTAATTATAAGCCAACTTAATTCTAATTTAAAATGGTTACTTAGTTGGAATTTTGTTTCATTAATAATATTTAACAAAAAAACAGGTTTTATTTTTTTTGAAGTTGGTCAACTTATAAAACATGTTTTAATGATGTGCCAGTTATAACTTGAATAATTTTTGGTTTATATTAATAATAATTAATTCAAACTTTTTTTTTGTTTAAATATTTTGGTACAGTTTTAAGAAAATATAATTAAACAAATTTTGATTTATTTCATAATTTTCTAAAATTCTTTACAGCCCCACTCAACTAATTTGTAATGTGAAATGTCATGACAATAGTTATTATGAATGCTACAAGAAATATGATCATAACTAACATTGCCATACCTAGAATTATAGAATTCTTTAAAAACTTTCATTTTTTTAAATTATTTATATATATATATATATATATATATATATGTTATTTTTTGAAACCAAGATTACATTTATTTTATTGTACCTTATCTCCCCTCATATTAGGCCCCTAAGAGTAAAAACAAACAAGTCTAGCAAAAAAAAGTACCAACAGTAAGGAAATCTTTGCATGCAAAAAAAAAAAAAAAAAAAAAAAGGTAGATTTAATGTTTTTTTTTCACTGCAAAATTGAAAGCAGTTTAGAAAATGCCACATTGTACAAGTTCATAATTACAATCAGATGTCATAAGAGCAGTTGAGAATTCCTAGTTTTTATCTATAACTTTTGAAATGCATAATTCCACAGTACTATGCTAATTTAGATATACAGGGTGAGGCAAAAATTAGCATACTATAGGGATAATTTATTAAAAGTATAATTACACCTGAAAATTTTATTTACTAGTTACTTAATTGTTATATGTGCTGTTCAAAATGTCTTCCTCCTTTTTCAAAACATTTCAATTCTGTGCCTGCACAATTCATTAACTTGTTGGAGAGTTTCCTCTGTAATTTTACTGGTTCATATTTCATTCCTTCTTTAAAGTTCTTCAATATTTCTTGGGCATGTCTGATAAACAAGTGATTTCAAATGGCCCCACAGAAAAAATCCGTGTGTGAGGTCTCATGACCTCAGTGGCCAATCAACAGGACCTCTTCAACCTATCCATTAACTCTTATGGTATGCAACTTTTGCCCCAAGGAAAAGTGATGACATTAATTTCAATGGCAAATTTTTGTGAGAATATTTTTTTATTTGTAAAGTGATTTTAATCGGTTTAATTTACTTGAAATTATAGTGATAAAAGTTTATGAGAGTAGTCAAGATTTACTTTTATTAGGGCTAGTACATTGGTAGACAGGCTCTGAATAAAATAAGCCATATTTGACAAGAATCATTGGGGCAATAAGGTTTTAAAAACTTGAGCAATATTATGTCTATGTTACCAATCTTAGCCAAGTAACAAAGTACAATAGAAAGTTCAAAATTTAGAGATAAGCCACTGTTTGATTGGTTAGGGGTCACCTTGATAGACCAATCAGGTGATTGTGGAAGAGTTTTTCCTGATAAAAAAAAAAGTTGTTTTTTTTTTGTTTTTTTTTATACAGTTGGGTTTTTGAGCAGAAAGCATTTCAAATAATTCACTCTCCCATCACAGGCTGTATTTGAGGAAATAGAACCTTTGTTGAATTTTTTTAAATTGATCAATATGTCTGGCTATGGTAAAGGATTGGAGAAGGGTGGTGCTAAGTGTCATTGTAAGGTGCTCTGCAGGGTTTAGGATCTATGTCATCCTGGGGTTGATATGACACTAGTTTGGGATGGTTGGTTATGGTTTTTGGAATGATGCCAGGATGATACAGGTTTTTTTAATTAGAATTCTATTATATTTATTATAAGAACAACTAATTTCTTAATCTAAAAAAAAAAAAAAAAAAATTCTTACTTATCAATACTGATGGGCTTTTTAAACACTCACACACAAAATTTAAAAAAAAACCCCAAAAAACTTTGATATAGCCAATAAGACCTGAAAGAAAAATAAAGTTTGAAGGACTTAAATTTAGATGTTTGTAATTAAGTCTAAATGTCAAAAACAATTTGACTATAAGAACTAATTTTGCTTTAATAACTGAAGCAAATGTTTGGTTAAAAACTTGAATGAACCATTTAGAAACAACATTTATGTGATGTTTTCTACTTATAAACTAAATTAATAGAAGGGAAAATTAAAAAAATTATAAACACAGAATGTTATGCAAGCAGGTAATTGGAATGTGCTAGTATTCTTATATAGAAAATAGATACATAGATCACAATTCCACAAGTATGCTAAAAGTTACTCTGAACATGAAAATTAATAAGAACATTTCCAATTAAAATTATTCTAGGTAATTTGTGATTTTTATTAAAGGAATTATAGTAAAATTTAACCAATTTGTTTTTGAAATTATTCATTTTTAAAACTAATATTTTAGCTTTTTAAAAATTTATTTCAAACATTTTAATAGCGTTTATGCTACTAACAACTCAAATTATAAATTTTAACTAAATTAAAAAATATGTTGATTTCTGGACAGTTTTAAATTTTTTTTTGGGGGGGGGGGTCCAGAAAAATGGTGAATAATGTTAATCTGTAGCCCTTAGATACCTGATAACCCATGATAATACCCAGCTATTTGCAATCTCTCTTGAGGTGGTGGTGTGAAATATATCTCTGGCCTTATCTATGAAGAGATACATGGAGCCATAAAAGTTTTTCTTAAGAATGTAATCCATGATGTTATTACCTACATTGAGTATGCCTAGACTGTCACTGCTATGGATGCAGTCAATGCCCTTAAGAAAAAATGTAGAAACATCTATGATTTTGGAGATTAAGGAACTTAAACCAACAATACGATAAAGATAAACCCCCACAAAATCTAATGAAATATAGTGCCATTTGGACCAGCAATTACTTATACAATATAAATATACAATGTAATACTGGATTACTAAAACAGAACCAACCTCTCGATTAGGAATGATAGTACTCTGGTTACTAACAATGGCTCCCAGCTGGCTGGATCGGGGACGTGCATTAAAATACTTGCAACTTTCCTCTTGAGAAAGACGAATCACTTTGCCTTCAATTCTGACCTGGATGAAAAAATAAGTTAGTACAATGGCTGCTTTTCTTTGATTAGTTTTTAAATATTTTTATATTTTAACTTATGTTATTATGTATTATATTCTATTATTTATTATTCTTGTATTTTTATATTTAAAACTATGCATCATAATAATATATCCTTCAATTTTGATTGCATTTAGTGCCTTTTAACAAATGAAGAATGCTTAGATCTATTTTAATGAAAAAGATAAAACATGTAAAAATAGATTATTTTTATGATTCATCTTGCAACCAGATATTTCATTGTTTCTAAAAAGAAGATAATATTTTAAAATTCTAGTTACTTACAGATCTATTCAATGGCTCCCAGTGTATACATACACTGCACAGAGGGTTTTCCTCCTAAAAAAAATAAAAAAATACATATAAATTAATACCTATGAATATATTTTACACAAAAATGAAATACAATTTAAATTGTTGCACAAAAGAAAAAAACTTTAACCAAACAATTACTACTAATAACAATGATCACAATGTTTTTCATGTCAGAAGGCAAAGAACTACATTTTAATTAACAGATTTTATCTTTATGGCCATGATCCCAAAGGCTACTTTTAATAAGTTATACAAGTACATTTTTTGTAGACAGTATATTGTTTTATCACAAAAAATTCATATGAAACTGACAAGTAATTCCATTCCAGTTATTTTATGCACAAAATAATTGTTATTTATTGTTGATAATATCAGTTTTGAAACAAAAAGAAAAGATCTTGGTAAAAAAAAAAAAAGAAAAAAAAAGTGTAACACTGTAGTATAAATGACACTAATATTCTACAACTAGTTTATAGATAGGTACATCAAGTTTGCAACCTAATCATGAAGAGAGAAAAAAAATATTTTCAACATAATTGCATTCCATTTAAGGCACTTGAATCAATGTTTCTCTATTAATCACATAGATAGTATACAGTGAAAATTTCAGATCAAAATAGCTAATATCTGTCAAGCTACAAACTTATTGACCCACTCTCATACCAAAGATCATTGCAAAACAAGGTCATTTTCCTTTATTAAAAGAAATTCAATGAATAAAACAGAAAATACAAAAATCTGATAGCATTTATTAGCCTGACTTGTGGCTGAAAAAAAACTTCTCAAACTGTAGAGATCAATATCTGATCACAGGTCAAAGTGAACATTTCAAATGCTGATTTTCTAAGCAGGCCACTTCCCACTTGAAAGATTGACATAATACTATCTTTTCACCCATATCACCCTTCAATCAATATTGCCTCACACTATACTAAACTAACAAAATAAATATCAAAAGTAGAAGGCAATTCCACAATGTAACAGGTTGCCACTGTAGTCAAGATATAGAGCATTAAAATATTTAGGGTTCAATGAGATTTCAATTGCCTTGTTAACAGTCTTCTTTCATAATGTAAAGTATTACTAAAGTTATCTCATAACCAAATATCAAAAAGAACTTTCCAGCACCCTCTTATATGTTATGTGTGTTATAATGTATGTGAGCATGCCAGCTGAATGAAAATAAAGGCAACTAAATAGAAGATGAGAAAAGACTGAATTTTCTGCATTAAAATATAGGCCCTCTTAATTTTAGCAAGTTTTGTTTTTAATGTAATTAAGAAAAATAGGCTATTGTCAAGCAGGTATACTATTTTTATATCACATTTTATGAAGGTGAATGAAAAAAAAGAAAAAAAAAAAGAAAAAAAAGAGAGTTCTCAGGTATTAGGAGGTGCTGAAAAGTTCCTGTCCCAAAATCAGAATTTCTTTTGGAAGGTCTTCTTGGTCAAGCCAAGAAGTTTTTAGTACCCATGTGGAGTATATTTGATTATCTTAGCTTCAATTGTAAAGCAAGTCACAAACTAGTTACCTTTTTGGTGTTAAGATCTATGATTTCATTCATAGCTACACAATATTGTTTAACCATATTCAACATCATAGATGCCTTTCAAATATGTGTGTGTGTGTGTGAGCAAATGCGCACTCTCACCGGTGTTATTGAGATGAACTAAATTTCTTTCAAGTACATTACTTATGGAGTATGTAGGTAATATGATATGCCCAATTTTTTCATTGTTATATTTCTTTTTCTTTTTTCTAACGCCATAACTAATGAATTTGAGACAAATTTAACTAATCTCACTATAAAAATTATTTCAAAACACTTCAAAAACAGTTAAAAATTTAATCAATACATACATAATATTAATAGAATAAAATGATCCACTTAAGTATGAATTTGAACTACAACTTTCAGGGATAGGTTTATGACAGATTTCTTAGAGAATTAAAGTTATTTATGCACAGATTGTATTTTTGTTTTACTTTTTTAAAAAAATAGATTATTTTTATAATGATGTACAAGATAAAATTTTGAATTTGTTCATTTATACTCAAATCATGCATAATATAGAGGTTAAATATTAATAAAATAGTAATTTTCTTTTTTAAGTTTTGTTATTTGATTAAATTCATAATACTTGAACCAGTTGTTATATACACACATTTACAATTTTCAAAAAGATTTTCTCATCCTTCCCAAAATATTTATATGCATTGAAAATTGAATCTATACAAAATTCAAAATTAAAATTTATCTGTACTTTTCATTTTAAAGAAAATCTTCACTTATGACAGAATGAAACTTTACATATATGTAAATTATACATAGACAAACAGCCTCATGAAATAAAATTTCTTTTATTATTTATACCTAACTGTTTTTTATCTAACATGCAAGCATTTTTTTTGAAGTAGAAGAAATAGATATAAATTCTATAAAAGTACTTTTCATTTCTTTAAACTGGATAAGTTAAAGCATCTGAAAAATGTGCATAATTTTGTTATGAAATAAAAGCTATCAATGTTTTAATAAAGCTGGATTATATAGAATAATCAGTAACAAGAGCTAATCACTGAATAATAAAGAGATTAAGTAACAGATATACCTTCACAGTGCAGTATCAGTGACTTTAATATTAGCTATAATACCACCACTTTGGATGATGATGATATCATCATCATTATTGTTACTAATGATGATGTTGTAGTAAAGGCATAATGTTGATTGTGATAATGTTATAGCAGGAACAGTAACAGCAAAAGTGGCATTGCACAGACTATCAGAAAGATCAATACTGGCACTCTAACAAGCAGATGTAACTTTCAAACAAGTGGAAAACATATCCAGCAGGGTTAGTCAGCACTCTGCAATCAGAAACCGAACCTCTGATTTTGTTTCATGAAATATTCAACTTGTTATCCTCAGGGGTTCGTAATTGAAGGAACAAAGATAATAACAGAAAGATGATATTATTTTTATTGTCATGCCACCATTGCTAATCTACTTCACTTACTACTGCCACCACTAGTAATCATATTAGGAATAATAGCATATGATGCAAAATCATGCAATACAATAACATTTTCACTTACATGATTAAACCTATAGTTAGAACTTAAGATTACATATTAAAGAGTTTCAATTTTCATCAAAGCTACCATGTTAGTGACATTCATTACTGCATATCTCAATGAAGAAAAATTCATTTCAGATCTTGCCAAAAACTAACCTTTTATAATAATTTGGATATAAATAGCACATTCTTCTTTAATGATTATGGTTCTTAACAATTTCCTATTCTTTCTAGCTCTTAGTGATGTTTGTTTTGCCATCCATTTACACAAGCTCAATTTGTAGGTTACTTGCTGTGTTCCCCTGTCCCCCTTGCCTCCAAAATGTCCTATAAGTGTCAAATTCTCCAATCCCACTTTCTTTGTTATGTTCTGTCCATAGTAGGCTCAGCATCCTTCTATAGAACCACATGTGTTGCCTCAAATCTCTTAATGGCAATTCTTCATATAAGTGACATAAAATAACCCGTGAAAAGTTTTGCTTCAGTTAAATAGCATAATATAAACTATCCTGTTGTAGTACCCTAGTCAATTGTCAATCTGAAAAAATTATTATCACAAGAAGATTGGTGCTTATTGCAGCTCAACAATTATCTTAGGGAACCTATAACTGTGCCCATCCATACTCAAAATGTGGAAAATCATTGGATGAGCATCAACTATAAACTGTGTTGATAGTGTAAAACTTCTGAGGTTTTGTTCATGTAGAATCTTCCCAAATGTGTGTCAATAGTAAGAGTACAGTCCAATGTTTTCAGTATTTATTTACTGCATAGTCCACTGTTACCCCTTGTAGTAGATATACACACTTTGGTCTTATTGATTTTATGTCGGAATAGCAGTTTATTTTACGCCGCTTAAGTGAAGGATTTGTCTTCATCTGTGAGGAAATTATCCAGCATTTGCTACTATATAAGAGGATTGATATTGCATAACAGCTCAGTACTCTTTTCTTGGTTTAAAATAAAATTTTCCTGTTTCTTAATACTTTGTTTGGCTTTTGGAAAGCATCTTTTGTTATTCTAATGCACCTTCAGATTTCTGTATCCCATTTTCTGTATAGTTAAATCTCTGTATTTCCTTGATTTTGACATCTCCAAGTTGTAATACACATCTTGGGCTGTCCCTCTTGTTAATGACTATATAATTTGTCATCTTACAATTGAGGATATCATCTTCCCACAGTTTTCTCTTTGGGTCTACCATACTAAATTATTATTTAGATTCATAAAGGATTAAAAAAAAAAAAAAAAGAATTAATTTTTATGTGGATCATATGGTCAAGTATGGTTTTCATTAATACAAATCTATTTTTTTTTGAAAAAAAAAAAAAAAAAAAAAAATCAGTCAGTAACAGTAAGTAAATATTTTGTTGCAAACAAGATTACCCCTTTTGTAAGTTTATGACATTCTTTCAATGAGTTGCTGATGATTGATAGAACCTAAAGCCAGAATTCTCCAGAGGGAATCATGAATTAATTCAAAATAACTCTTTAGGCATTAATATAATCTTTAAATGTCATATCAGATGTGACCATAACTAAATTAGCCATAATTATTCAATTATTCTTAGGATATACACATGTGGAGTTTCAAACTTAATAACAAACTAATTTCCTTTCTAGACTCTTGTACATTGTAACATTATTTTTTTTAATATAAAACAATTTTCAATATAATCCTGTGTTTGTTATGAAATAAGTTTTTTGTTAAGACAATAGTTGTGTTATCCTCCTGTATTAGCAATTGTTTTTTGTCAGATAACTAGGTGTTGAACAAAATAAAACAATTTTGTTGACCATATTAGAAGATATTGCAAAAATTGAGGAATAAAAATGGAATTTATTATTTATTTTACACAATGAAGACCTAATTTAAATGAAAAAATATTTTTTTAAAAAAAAAAGAAAAAAGATTAAGAACTTTAATGAAAAATGTATTTCAAACAGTGCAAAACAAACAGAAAATCTTAAAAACAAAATTATTAAAAAAAAAAAAAAAATTAACTTTTAAAATAAAAGTTAAAAAAAAAAAAAAAATAAAAAATAACAGTCAAAGGGGAAAAGAAACTTGTTAAAAATGTATACATACCAGTTCTTTGCCTTTCCGACTATCAAAATTTGTAAAAATTTTGAAGCCTTCTTTACAAAATCCTTTTAACAACACCATCCGCACAGATGGCTTCCCTGATCTTAGAGAGAAGGAAAAAAAGCAGTAATGAGAAATATTATATAATAATTACAAAGATAAATATTTTTTTAAAGGTTAACTATCCTGAAGTGATCAAAAAAGCTTTTCAGAAGTGAATTTTCAAAATACTTTTGAATGCTACAATGTTAAGGTACAGCATAATGTATGGTTTCACAAAACAGAAATAGAATCGGCAAACTGAATTCAAAATTTGACTTAAGTGGTTTATATTCATTTCATGCTAATAAATTTGAGAAAGACATGAATCCATTTCTCCGTACTACCAGATTATCTTGACATTGGCTTGTTATACTGGTCAGTAAAGTGATTGAGCTGACAGCAGTTAACCAAACCATTCTTTAATAACTATCATACCCACCCTGCTAGAAGAGGCAAAATATCATTAACCACAAGGGTCAATTATCATGTTAGTATGTTATGCTTCTTCAAACATTTTATAATAAAAAAAAAGTCAAGTAAAAAAGAAAAATCACTAATAACACAGTTTTTCTATGATTAACTAAATTACAGTGGGGGGGAGGAATGTTTGAAAGTTTTTAACAGAGTTCACTTCCTAAAATTTGATCAAATATAATTTTATTTTAACCTCTTCTCAGTCAGACCAAACACCTTTCAGTATACCCTTATAGAATATTCCACACCTAATTTTGTATTTTAGAGTATATAATGCAAATATATAAATAATATAATTACAAATGAACTGGTTGCAGATTGTCAACCTTTAACATAAAATAAATTCTTATGAAAAAAAAAAAAAAAAAAAAAAAAGAAAAGAAACACAAAAAACAAACAAACACACAACAACAAACAAGAAAAGTAAAGAAACTATTGGTTTATTCAGTATAACTGTTTTGGGAAATGACATTTCAGGCACAATACACTTCTGCTTTTCTCAGGTGTCTGTTATAGTTTTGAATATTTAACCTTGAGTTATGCATGTTCTTTTATGTACACATCAATTCCAGTGTGTGCTTGGGACAGTCTTTACCCGAGCCATATGTTGCATTAATGATCTCCCAATGAATTGACTTATCAGCATGCCCATATTTGGGAACATGCATTTGGAATCTCAAATTCATATATATTTTTTTTTTTTTTTGATCAGTAACTTTCAGGTTATTGATGCCTATGTTTGGTCTGCTGATTACTGGATGATTTGAGTATAGTATGTATGCAGATTTCTTATTTCTCCAACGAGAGAGGGAGAGAGAGAGAAAAAGAGAGAGATAGTGTGTTTCTTATTCTTCTCAGAACATTCTTAATTTTAAAGTTGTCCTCATGGATTACATTTTTATGATTAAGTGAAAACTGAATATTGTTCTGTAATTGAACTAAACAGAACAATAAAGTTTCAAATCAATAGGTATCCCAATTTATACTTCCTTAAAAAGAAGGTGAGGATAGTTCTTTCTGATAATGCTGTTTTTTTACAAACTAGAGCTATCATGCTAATGAATGCTGTAGAATTATTTCCCAGCACAGTAATAGGGAATATTGTACTTAAAAGGGAAATTCAGGGAGTTCCCAAATAATAAAATACCAAAGGAAATTTTTTTATGTGTCCCCTGTTAAAAAAACTTACAGAATTACCATGTTTAGAGGAAGTTCATTTTTTTGTTTTTGTTTTAGCAGTAAATAAACTAATCAAAGACACAAAATAATTTTAATTTATTACCTCAACATTCTAGCTTCATTAAATATACCTTAAATAAACGAAATTAAATTATTTAAATCAAGGGTGTAATTTTTTCCAAGCCATGTAAAAGGAAATATTAGGGAATAACCAATAATTGTGAAAAAAAAAAAAAAAAAAAAAAAATTATGTTCATTGACAAAAAAATTACAATACTTAGTTGTCCTTCCTGGAATTTTTATAACAGCCTTAATTCTTTCAGGCATGGATTTCACTGATTTAAAGCAATATTCATTAATTATCAATGTGGTTGCAACTTTTCCAAATGGTGGTTATAAGATCTTTGATGGATGGAGCATTTTCATATACAATTTTTTCAAAATTTCCAGCATAAATTTATTTTGAGTTGGTATATTATTTTTTATGTAAATTATGAAAACAAACTTTTGGGTCTGTAATTCACTATGCAAAGATGGTATTAAGAAATATTGTTACTTTGAATTTTAAGCTACTTATTTAACATTTTTAACTTTAAGTTTATTAAGGTTCTTAAACTCACTTCACTTCTTACACGAGGTTTATATTTTCCAAAAATTTTGTTTCACATGTTTCTGTTTTTACTACAAAATTTATTTATGCAAAATTTAAAATAAAATGCCATTGTCAATGGTCACCAAGTTATTTTAATATTTTTTCTTTGATATTGTTATTCATAAGAATTATTCACTGATAAAATTTAATTCTTTTATGAGTAATTTATGTTTGTATTTTAAGCTATATTAGTTTAGTTTTAAATCTACCATTAAATGTAAAACAGAAGCAAATGTGATATTTTTGTATTTACAAAATGAATGAAAAAACATTTAAGAATGTTTTTACATAAATTTAATGATATATTATTAAATTCTAAATATTTAATTCAGTATTTATTTTTGATATTGTAAAAATTCTGTGAGAGTGAATGAAATTAATCCTGCGGCTCAGTTATTTTTCCAGGGTTTTCTAAAGTTTTTAAGTATGATAAAAAAGAAAAAAGTCAGCTTAGTTGAAAGCATGATTCTTTTTTATCACATTTTCTTTTTGCTATTTAGAGAACTGTAAGGATTTACTTATTAAAATTTAAAAAAAAAAATGTAATTAACAATTAATATTACATGTCTAGTTTTTAACAGAGGTATATCTTTTTGAAGATGTTTTTCTATGCTTGTTTGTAATTTTATACTTCATAATTTATTAAAAATAAATTACCATTATTATTTCACAAAATTACTTTAATAATATTTTCCTCTAACATTGTTGTTATTCATAAAGAACAAATGTATTCATAATTTTTTTTAATTAATTTTTAATTGGGTAAAATAAACAAATATTAATTAGTTTCATTTTTTAATTTTCCATTAAGGCATACAGAACCAACTGTCATATTCTTACTACAAAATTAATGAAAAAGCCGTTTAAGAATGTTTTTACATAAATTTAATGTCATATAATAAAATCTAATATATTTAATTCAATATTCTAAAAAACACTGAACAAAATATTAACCATGTTGCTGCTCAGTCATTTTTCCAGGTTCTTAAAGTATTTTATTTATTTATTTACTCAAGTTGAACACAAAACTAATTTTTGGCACAAGAAGGTAGAGATTAAAATGTACTGTGGTGGGGCAGTCCACCACAAGGCATTGTCTCAAAAAATAGCCAAAGCCCTCTCCCCTTAGCACTTCCCTTGCGGGGCATCTCAGGCACTGGGTAAAAACAGTCCCTCACCTTTAAATGAAAGGAGAGGTGTTGCCTGGAGGAGCAGCACTCTGGGAGAGAGCCAGACAATAGCTGATCTTATGTTGACAAGTGCTAACAATTGATACTTAATTAACTTGATAATTAATTAAAAGATTATGTAATGTTTTGGAAACCTTTATTAACAATATACCCCAAAACCAATATACCCCACTCCCCCTAAAAAATCCATTTAAAAAGTGGATTGTTAGGCTTAAGGCAACCCTCTAAAATTTCTGCTTTTAACTTATTGGTATGGGGAGAGGTAAAAGTTGGGATTAATAGTACAATTAATTTGGCTAAAAAAGTTACCCCTGAATTGAAGCAATAAAAGAAATAATTGTGCTTAAGAAGCTTAATCTATCATTTCAGATATTACCTAGTTTCCAGCAATGCCCCGGAAGTGTTGTGTTATTGCTTGCAAAACAAATTACAGAAGCCAGCCAAACAAATTACAGAAGCCAACAAAACAAAGCTGTGTGTATGTGTGTGTGAGAGATGAATAGAATAGCAGTTTGTTTTCCAAAAGATGAAAGAGAATGATGGAGAAAATCAGCTCTAAATGCCAATCTGAATGTTACAAACAATACAGTTATTTGTCAAAGACATTGGCCTTCAAATTTTGATACCATAGAAGTTCATGGAAAACTGCACCCCCAAAACCCACCATCTGTATGGCCAGGTATGCCAAGAGTCAAATACTCTCCATTGTTCAAAGCAATATAAAAAAAAAACCTCCAGTACTGCTCAAAACCAAACTGATGATGCAATGAATGCTTTTTAAATAATTAGATAACATTAATTATACAAATTTGAAAAAGTCTGAATCAACAACGAAAAAGACTGTGTCCAGTTGTAGCATTTTTGGCTGAAAATATTTTAACTGTTCAATCATCAAAAGTTATTGATTGTATCTCTCTCTTTATGTTGAGAATTTATAAAAAAATTGCTGTTTGAAACTTTTCATTATGAAGTTAAGTGTTATATTAGCAACTGAAGATAATAAACATTTGCTTTTTGATTATGTTCATCTCTTGAAAAATATTCACAATTTGTGGCTCACAGAAAAGACAGAACTAATCTTTGATGATAATGGAGTAAAATGAGTTGCAAGATGGGTACATCTTAAACAGTTATATTGTTTTGAATCTGAAAAACTAGTTAAATCAATGTACATCTTGTGATTATAGACTTTGCAAGGAAGGTTAAAAACTATTTGACAATCTGGAAAAATTAGAACCATATTTCTGATGAAATAAAAATGGCTCTCATATACATAGCTGAATATATTACAAGAAATAATAATCAACCCAGTGAATATGAAACCCATTTTTATTATGAAAATATACCAATTCAATTGACTGTGGAAAACTAAAGGTTTCTTTTGACCACATTTTCAAATGGTTGTTTTTTATTTCATCCTTTTTCATACAATAAAGGAAAAGGTGTGTTATAAATCATTAACATTTTTATGTTTATTTCTGAGTTTCATTTTTTCAACATAGAGAGAAAGAATCCTCATATTTTTGCAAATATAGTTTTGAAAAACTTTTACAAAAATTACACACC